TAGCCTGCCTCAGACTTATCCCTTAGGACGCCACCGAAAAGCTACCTCCTCTGGCATGCCATTTCTAATCCCTATCCGCTAAGCCAAGTTCAACGTCCCTCCTCCTGGCACCTGTGCTCCCCTTTGTGTAGCACCTATCCTACACTGCCAGTGCTGTCTCTCTCCTTGCCCTGCAGACTGGGCTCCTTATGGTTGACTCTGTTTCCTGTGCCCTGCCGGGAGCCTGGCATCTACTGATGCTAATTTACCCAGTGGATGTCAGAACCAGAAGAGGACTGAGAGACTTTGTGATCACAGCTGCTCGCGTGTGCAATACACCCTGAAGTCTCAAATCTCTTCCACACCGATCATCTCATTGACCCACCTGAGGTTACTGTCCCCATAGTCTAGGAAACTAAGGTTCAGATCAGTGAATTGTCCAAGTTCACCCAGCCGGGAAGTAGCTGGGCTGGGATCTGACCTCAGGTCTATCTGACTCCAAGGCTCTTGGTGTTTCCATCACTCCCACAATCATGGGATTCAAAGAACACACCCTTCACCAATAAGGACACCGAGGCCAGGAGAGGTACGTAGGGTCATGTGGTCTGTACCCCATTCTGTGCTCTTTCCTCAAACAGGAAGTGCCCAGGAAGGTGATGAGGTGAGGATGGGGGCCTGAGCCAGGGAGGGCAGTCCCGCCTATGTCTTTTCCCATTGCCCCCTTCCCATTTATCACAACCTGTATGTTTAAATTTTGTATTTAGTATTTACTCTGAAATGCCTTTCATCTGATTTCCCCCCCTTACTCACCAATTTAGCTGTCAGAGTAAATAAATGTGAAGTTGGGTCTCCAGCCTCCCCCAGCTCACATTACCTTCCTAGAATTACTCCCCGGCGGGGCGGAACCGCTGCTGGGGGCGCTCCCACAGAATCATCCAGTTACTAATGAAGTCTCTCTTTAAACCCAAATCTTGGACCACGACTCAGGTGGAGGAGGACGGCAAAACTCACCCCTGGGGATGGGATGACCACATCCTGTTTCGTGACCAGGAGAAGGACTGAAGTGAGAAGCAGAATTCATTATACACCTAAGATGCTTATTACACTGTACATGTAGGATGCTGAGGACATTATACATGAGGACTACTTACAACATTATACATGTAAGGTGCTTCTACAGGGCCAGGAGTAGAGGAAACACTTTCGAAATATTCGTCTTTATTATATGGTTAATTGTCACTAAAATCCTGAGAGGTAAATACTGTTATCCCCCTTTGGCAAGTAAGGAAACTGTGGCTCAGAGAAGCTCAGTGACCTGCTCACAGTCTCCCATAGGAAGGACTTGAGGGTCCTGATAGAATATACTGACTTTGCTCATCCTGATTTTGCCAAGGTCAGTCCTATGCAGACTCTCTTTCCTGCTGGAGTCAGTTGTTGGAGGAGATTTCTCTTCCAAATTAATTTCATTTCTGTCTTCTATGAAGTCAGGCAAGCTCTGGGTTGAAATAATGGTTCTGCAGTTATTCAGGAGAATATTTGATTCTTTGGTTGACTTACACTCTGCCTTTTTCCATAAAATTTTTTTTTGATGTGGCACCTATTAAAATAACAACTGGAAAATGCAGCCAGTACATAGTTAATGATGGTGGTGATTTAGTCACTAAGTTGTGTCCGACTCTTTGCGACCTCATGGACTGTAGCCTGCCAGGCTCCTCTGTCCATGGGATTCTCCAGGCAAGAATACTAGAGTGGGTTGCCATTTCCACCTCTAGGGGATCTTCCTGACCCAGGAATTGAACCGGGGTCTCCTACATTGCAGGCAGATTCTTTACCGACTGAGCTACAAGGGACTGTATTTAATGATGGCTATTATTTATTGTTTGCTTTCTGTGTGCCAGGCATGATTCTGACACTTTTGCAAGGATCGTTTGCTTAATTTTCACAAGTATAAGAAGTGGACTCTGCTATCATCCCCACTTTATGGATGAGGAAACTGAGGCTGAAGAGTGGCTGAATAACTTGTCCAGAGTTCTTTAGATAATAAGGAGCAAGGTCAAGATTGGCATCATGACAGTCTGACTCTAGAGTATTTGTGTTTCCCTTCTGAGTTTAATGCCTCTTATTCCAGTTTTGATTTTCTGAGCACCATCTCAGAATTACAGAATAGGTAAGTGTCTGAATTCTGGAGTCTGAGTGCTAGAGCCTGAAATGAGGCTCCTGTAAGCTTGTTTCCTCTACTACAAAATAAATAAAATAATATAACCTCCATGCAGGGTTGCTGCAAGGGGTCAAGAGGATAATGCATGTAAAACAGTGCTTGGCACATAAATGCTCAATAAACAGTAGTTATTATATTATCACTCAAGGAGCATGTGTTTCACATTCCTTCTCTTAGGACTGCAACAGCTTGTTTGTCTAGACTCTGAGTCTTAGCATTCATCCCTCTACCTGGAATATTGTCTTCTCTCCCCTGAATCCATTTATATTTCATCTACCCTTTCATTTTTTCGTTTTAGCTGAAGCCTCCTCCATACCTCTCCCAACCTCTTGCTTGAAGAGCTAGTGCCATCCTCATGGCCTCTTCTTTCCCGGAGTCCCTCTGCACTCACACATCTGTACAGCTTTGTATAACAGCCAATGACCTTCTGCTTCCCACAGCAGCCCAGAAAGGGAAGAGAAGGAGACAAAGTTTGCCCAATTATTATTCCCGTTTTGCAGATGACAAAGCAAGCTTAGCCCATAACTGGTGACGCCAGGAATCACATCCAGGGCTTTTGGTGGATAAAATGGAAAAGGTGTGTATGTGTATGTGTGTGCATGTGTCTGTGCATATATGCATAGAGTGGACATGATCATGTATGTAGCCTAGAAATTAAGAATATAAACTCTGATGTCAGATGAATCTGGGTTTTGAGTTCTTGGTCCTGGCAATTTTAGCCATGTGGCACCAGTGTGGACATATCACATGATCTCTCTGAACCTCAGTTTCTTCATCAATGAAATGGGTACAATAAAAGACACTACCTAATGGGGTTATTGTGAAAAAAAAATAGCATGTTTGTAAAATGCCTGCCCTGGATTAAAGTACAGAGGAGTAGCAGCTGGGTTTATTATGTTCAAAAGAAGATAGTTGAGGAGGAGTTTGTTCATCTCTGGTCATCTCCGGTTCATCTCTGGTGGATGTTGGAGGGTGCATGCATATGTGTGTGCCTGTGCACACAGCTCACCAGCTTTCACACTGCAATTGAACTCTCAGTAGAAAAGATTACAGTCCAAAATAGAAACTTTCCACTCTGTATATCTGTATCTGAAAGCAATAAATGGCTGAAAACGCAGCAAGTGGGAGATACTATTGGCTGGGGTTGGAGCCATTTCTGTGTACCTTGGTGTGTATAAAGGAACAGATACTTGTCTCTTCCGAGGCTACAAGAGGTGTGAGTCTGTAGTATTATCCTGGAGAGCAAATGCCGCATCTGCCTGTGCCTATTAGGATGTGTCTGTGAGTGCATGACTGAAGCTGTGCCTACCAGGAATCCTGTGTCTTCAGAGGTGTATGGTCTGTCTCTGACTATAAATAGTTATCTCACCATCTGTAAGGATATGTGTGTATATCTGAGAGTATCTGGGTAGAGGACACAGGGTGTCACATGGGTTTGGAGCTCTCTGTGAGAATCTGCCCTCTTAACTATGGATGTGTGTACACGTCTAATAACAGTTGTGTGGGGTGTTTACATTTGTAAATGAAGACAATTAGGGAAGTGATGGTATGTGCCACTGCATGGAGGTGGGGTGTGTGGTGCCTGTAGGGCTGGATCTAAGTGTGCATATTTGTTTTTAGAAGATGATGTATATTTATATGTCCCTCTGAGCTCAATTTGTGTGTAAAGAAAGGGGCTAAGGCTGTGAGTGTCCACCTAATGTGTGTGTACATTGCATGTTAATGTGTGTAAGGCTGTTTTTAAGTCTTTTGTGTCTGGGTCATTGGAGGCTGTGTCTCCTCTCTCAGTGCCAGGGCCTCCTTGCCTCCCCCACCTCTCTCACTATCAGTAGACCCCTAGAGAAGGTGAGATGGGCATTAGACTACTTAGCTCAGCAAATTCTGCAGGGGAGGGGGATGTCTCAGGCAATCCCTCCCTGGAGAATTCAGGGGAGCAACACCCCCTCAACCTCTCCCACCCAACCCAGTCCTATTTAGGATGGGATGTAGCCCAAGCCCTTAGGAACTGGTGTGCCCTCTGTTTGTTATGGAGCAGAGCCAGCTGTGCAGGTGTATGAGTTAAGTGTGCATGCCTTGTGCTCGTGTAAATGAGGCGAACAGGTAATCATTTGCATCAGCATGTACACAAACGTGCCAGGCATGGGATTGCATCAACAGAGTCTGATGTGTGACTTTATATGAAACCCGTCTCGGCCCAAGGTGTGAGCATGGGTCCCTCTTGTACCTGTAAGTGGGGCTGTGGCCGAGAGCCGTGGGTGCCCCGTCAAGGGGCGGAGGGGGCGGTGATGAGAGCTGGGAGTCTGTGCGCCTGGCGGTGCCTTTTGTATGTCAGCGCGTCCCTCAGTCTCTCCGTCGGCGGTTCTGAGTTTCTGTGTGTCTGTCGGTCTGTGTGTGTGTCTCTGGGTCGCCGCCTCGCTGTGTGTGTCTCGCTCTCCCTTGGCGGGGAGGGGATTGGTCACGCATGACTCATCTTGAACCGAGCGGGGCTCCAGCGGCAGGGCGGCCGCCGCCGCAGCTGGAAGGGGAGGAGGACCGGGAGGAGGGAGAGGAGGAGGAGGAGGAGGAGGGGGCGGGGGCCTCTCCAAGTTTGTCGGGACCTTCTTCCGAGGCAGCGGCGGCGGCAGCCAGGGAGGCCGGGGCTGCGCGCGGGCCGGGGGCGGGGGCTGGGGCCGGGCCCGGGGCGGCGGGGCCGGCGCCTCCGCTCTCCTGCTCGTGGTTCAGCCTTTGCTCGTACTGCGGCCGTGGCCCCTCTCGGCACGGCTCTCCGAGCCGCGCGCCCGCCGAGCCCGCCGCTCCCCGGCCCATGTACTGGAAGCATGAGAACGCCGCCCCGGCGCTGCCCGAGGGCTGCCGGCTGCCGGCCGAGGGCGGCCCCGCCACCGACCAGGTGAGCGAGCGAGCGAGTGGGTGAGCCGCCCGGGCCGGGATGGGACGGGGATCGGGACCCAGCCGGGCCGGGCCGGGCGACGGGCGGCCGCGGGGAGGAGGGGTGCGGGGTGCGCCTGGGAGTGTGTGTCTGTGAGTGTGTGAGCGCGCGCGAGCGCGAGGAGGGGGGGGGGGGGTCGCGGAAAGCGGGAACACATTATGCAAATGTTGGAGGAATTTCTCAAAAAGCGATTTAGCAAAGACACAGGCGAATCAAGAGGAGGCGAGGCGGGTATTGTCCGTCTGAATAGGCGCTGATAGCGCCGATGCGCCGGGGGTTGTGCCGGCGCAACGCTGAGAATCGCGGCGCGGGGCCGGTCCCGGGAGATCCGAGGGGCTGGAGGGTGCTCTTTCCTCTTCTTGGACGCCTCCCTTTTCTCTTTTGGGCCCCGTTTCGTCCCCGATCTCGCCCCCGTTTTACTCTGGGTTTCCGTCGGACCGGCCCTCGGAACGCGCCTGAGTCCGCGTCAGCATCGCCACATCAATTTCGCCGCGCGCGCGGGGCGAACGGGCTGATGCTCCCAGCGCTCAGGGTTTTATTTTCCTCAAGCGCCCCTCCCCAGCCTCTTTTTTATTTTCTTTCTTTCTCTCTTTTCTCCTTTTTGCATTTTGCGCCGAGAGCAGGAGAAGGGAGCGAGGAAGGGGGGTGGGTGGAGGGAGAAAAAATTCGATTTTTAATTACTACCATTAAAAAATCAAATTTGCAATTCTTTGGGCGGCCTGATGGATCTCACTGATTGACAGTTGGAATTGACACTCTGGCTACCTCTTATCTTGGGCATTCACGACAATTTCTAATTGCAGGTAGTTTGTGTGTGTGCGCGTGTTTTTTTTCCCCCTCAGAGGCTTGGATTGCAAGGGAACTAAGCGATTACTTCAAGAGCCACGGGTTAAGTGCAGGGAGAGGGGGAGAGAGAGGGAAAAAATCCAATCCAAATTCAAATTGCTTCATTAGAGAGACACCGCTTTTGTGGGGAAGGGCTTTAAATGCCCACTACAAAGTTAGGACTCATTGTTCCGCGCCGGTTTATATAACAGGCGCGGGGAGGCGCTGGGCTCAGGCTGCGCGGAGCCAGTGCTGCAGCCGCCGCCGCTTGCGTTCCCTCCCCCCTCCCCCAGGTGATGGCCCAGCCAGGGTCCGGCTGCAAAGCGACCACCCGCTGCCTTGAAGGGACCGCGCCACCCGCCATGGTGAGTTCGTTCGGCCCTGCCTTCGGTCCCCGGTCCCCTGGCGGCCGGGCCCTGGGGAGCTAACGCGGCTTTCCGACCCCGTGCTCTGGGGGACTGCCGCAGGGCGCCGCCCCTCTCTGAGCCTCGGTTTTCTGGCCGGGAAGGCGAGCTTTGACCGCTCCTGGCACCTAGGACGCGCGTGCTAAAAGTTGGAGCCGTCCTTTCCTCTCCAGTAGGCCCTTCCATTCCTGTCCTGTAGCCCGTGGCTTGTCGTTCGGGGGGGATTTCGTTGTCGGTTGGTTCGCTGAGGCCCGGGTCTGTCTCCGAGGCAGCAGCAACGCTGGGCATCCGACTCGGCCCGCAGCTCAGAGTGCGGCTCTGGCTCTCCGCCCCCCGCAGGCTCAGTCGGACGCTGAGGCCCTGGCCGGCGCTCTGGACAAGGACGAGGGCCGGGCTTCTCCCTGTACGCCCAGCACGCCTTCCGTCTGCTCACCTCCCTCTGCCGCCTCCTCCGTGCCGTCCGCCGGCAAGAACATCTGCTCCAGCTGCGGCCTGGAGATCCTGGACCGCTATCTGCTCAAGGTGAGACAGGGGCGGGGTGTTGCGTGTGTGTTGGCGGGGTGTGGGTTGTGATCCCGAGGACTGCAGGGGGAGCCACCCCGGCGCCGGGTCCCCTCAATTCGAATCCTTGCTCAGCCCCGGCCAGACTCCAGCGGCTTCGGGCAGATCTTAGCGTCTCTCTGCGCCCCCGGGTTCCCGTCTGAAAAATGGGCAGAGTTGATTTCTATCTCCCTGCGCCTCCATGTTACAGAAGAAAAGTGGGGGAAGTCACATGTTCCTTCAGAGCTCCGGCGCCTGTGTCTGCTAAGGGGGTCGGGGAGGCTGGAGCCAGGCGCGCGCAGAGGGCCGCGCTTAGCCGCCCCCCCCCCCATCTCCGCCCCCTCCCCAGGTCAACAACCTCATCTGGCACGTGCGCTGCCTCGAGTGCTCCGTGTGTCGCACGTCGCTGAGGCAGCAGAACAGCTGCTACATCAAGAACAAGGAAATCTTCTGCAAGATGGACTACTTCAGGTAGGCTGCGCCGCAGGGCCAGCAGCGTCGCCGGGGGCGCGCAGAGGCCGTTTGTCAGCTGCGCTCGGTCTCTGCCTCTGGAGGCCCCCGCGTCCCGAATGCCCCGGCGCCGAGCCGCGCGGGGGCCCAGCCCACCGGCTCTCAGAGGCAAGCACCAGGAGCTCCAGGCCGCGCGCCGGTGCTGGCAGGGGTTCGGGCCGGTGATCCGCCCCCGGTTGCTGAGACCCACTCGGTTTTGGTCGCGTCTCTGGCTCCCTCTCGGTTCCTGCCTGAACCTCAGGCTCCTGTTCCGACTCCCAGCGCGTCGGTCGAGCTCCGAGGCCCCCGGCCTGGGTTGTAACCCGACTCCCACTCCAGCAAAGCCGGCGTCTCTACCCGGCAGGACCCTGAGCTGGGCTCCAGACTCTTGTCCCGGCTCTTACCCCGGCCGGGTTCGAGGCTGGATTCAGCTCTGGTTCGGCCTCAAGCACTAGCCTCGCATGGGTCTCGGATCCGAACCCATGTTCAAGCTTTCGATCTAACCCCCGACCTCGGTCTCCGGCTCCGCCTCAACTCAGACCCCGGCATCGCTCGAGTGTAGGATTTCGTGTCTGGGATCCTGCCTGCGCCCCGGGCGCCGGTTCTAGTCCCAGCTCCGTCGCCGTTTCGGCCCCGGCTTCAGCCTCTCCTGGGTCTAGGCTCTGACTTTGGGCTGCCGGGACAGGAAGGAGGAATGGGGTTGCCACAGCCAGGGCCCCGGAGGAGGATCACCCTGGGCTGCACCCTCCGCCCGGCGGTGCCGCGTCGGCAGCTCTCCACAGCAGCCCAACTGGTCCTCCCGCCGCCTCTCCGCGCGCCTGGCTCCTCACCTCGCCTGGCTCTGCCCTGCCCGGGTCATGGTGTCGAGGTCACGGCGAGGTCAGAAGAGCAGCGACTGCCGGCCCGGTCCCTAGGGGAAGCGTGAAGCAGGCCTGAACTGGGGTCTATAGAGTCCAGAGAGAGTGGAGTGGTATTGGTTCCTGGGCAGGACGCTTGTTCCCAAGAGCTTTCTTAGGAAGTGGAGAAAGCAGCCCCCATCCCTCCAACATCCTTCCCATCCCTGCCTCGGGAGAGGTCACTGATGCAGCCTTCCTGGGAATACCCCAGCCCCAGAAAGATCCTCTAAGTCAGGGGATGCTGTGTAAGGCAATGCTGCTTCCCCTGGCCCCTGGATTTGAGTGTCTGGGAACTTGGAAAGAGAGGACCTTGAATCTAGGGGGAGGCTTGTAGCATTTGGGGCTGGGGTGCTCTAAGGACACCTTAGGAAGCCTGGCTGGAAAAATGGACTCTTCTCCATCAGTGCATGGGTGTGAGTGGAAGTGCAGCTAGGGTGTACGTGGGCAAGGGCGGCTCTACCAGCTGGCCTGGGACTCCCAAGTACGAGGATGCACGCGTGTCTGTCTGTCCGGATCTGTGCAGTGGCCTGGGTGAATGTGTCAACTGAGGAGGGCGAGGGGCGTGTGGACAGCGTGGGTGTACCTTTACAGCAAGCATTTGTCTGTCAGTTCATGTGTCAGTGGAGAGTGTGTGTCTCTGTGAATGCTGAGACCGTGCGTGCGTGTGTGTGGGTGTGTGTGTGTTGTCAAGTTGGTCAGGACAAGCTTTCTTCTGGCCTGGGGTCTGAAGGTGAGAGGTTGAAATCCCGTCACTCCCCACCCCACCACACACCCTTCCTCTGAGGGGCATTTCTCCTTACCAAGGGCTCAAGGGTGTGAAGTGACTGTGGATTTGTGGGTATGGGCTGCAGCCTGTCTGTATGTGAGGGCAGGGCTGTCATTGTGTGGTGTGTAACCAGAGTGTGACCTCTCCCCTCCACTGTCCTGACTCTTAGCTAGCCAGGGCAGGAAGCAGAGGTTAGGGTCCCTGCTCTAGGCCTGACTCTAGTTGGTAAAGAAACAAGCCAGCTGCCCTTTCAGGGCTCCGTGTGTTCATCAGTGGGCCAGGACATCCTGGGGAACCCAGCAGGCGTCTTCCCACAGAGTAAGGCAGGCCTGGCCACCTCTGCTGGTTCTCCTGGGGCAGCAGACCCGCCACCCTGTGAGCCACTTGTCCATGTGTCTGTGCTGCTTCTCCAGCCCCAGCTCATGCCCAAGGCTGGACCAAGCCTCCTTGGCTGATGTGCTTTCCTAGATCTTCAAGGATTAGTCAAAGCTCAGATCTTGACCCTACTGTTCAAAGCCTCCATTGCCTTCCTTCCCACGGTAGTGGGACAAAGCAGATGTCCAGCTATCATGGAGACACAGAGACCAGACTCCATGAGGCCAGCCCTGAATCACTGTGTGACCTCAGGCAAATCACTGCATCTCTCTGCCCTCAGTGTCCACCAGGGTATCTCTCTGAGCTGCCAAGAAGGCCAGTGAAGGGAGGAAGGCTCAGCAGAGGCTCCCTAAAGGGTGGGTGCTATGGGTGTCACCACTGGCAGGGTGGCAGAGGCATCCCGCCTGGTGGCATTTCCTCAGACAGCTTGGGGAGCAAGAATGGGGCTGGGCCATTTCTGGGCTGCAGGTTCTGAGCACTAATCCTTTTCTAGTGACAATAGCCCCCAAAGCAAAACTAAAACAGATTTTTGGTTAAGAAAATAGAGCGAATAAAGACTCACATTCCCTGGGATGAGAGAAGAATTGTGGCTTTTCTGATCATTTCTCCCCCAGCCAGGTCTCCCTGCAGGCATAACTCATCCCTGGCAGCCCCACCTGTAACAAAAATAATGAAACCCACAAAAAGGGAAAGAAAAAAGGCGGAGCGCCAGGCAGGGACTATTGTCTGCTCTGAGCAGCAGCCCGGGCTCTGGGTGGCTGCTGGAAGTGAGCCCTTCCTGGAGAGAGCACTGTGGTGTGGAAGGCAGAGCCCCCTCTCCAGATTGGGGCTCAGGGAATGGCCTAGCACTCAGATTCTCTGGCCCTCTGTTTCCTGAAACCCAAGATCAAGGGTCTGATGGGAAATGGGCTGGAGCACTCACCCCAAAGAGAGGCCAAGATTTCTGAACAGGATGCAGGGAGGGAGGAAGTGGCCAAGACCCCACTAGTAGCTTCCGAGGTCCTCTGACTTCTGGTCTTATTCCTCAGGGAAGGGCTTCCTCTCGGTTCTGTCTGCTATCTTGCCCTTCCCTGACACTGGTCTGTAGACTTCTCTTCTATCTTCTTTGGCAGAGCTGGTAGCACTGGGTGCTCAGGAAGCTAGATGTTAGGAAAGCACTCCAGGCTCACCGGGGCAAGAGGCAGGTGGCTGTGCCTGGGTGGGGTAGAGTCTGGAGGGCCATTGCTGCTCCTGGCTTTGTTGGAGGAGATTGGCTTTCCACTGACTATGTGCCCTCTCTGAATTCACTGGACCTCTCTGCCTCAGTTTCTCCAACTCACCATCCAAACAGGGACCTCACCAACCCTTGTGGCTTCAGTCAGATTCCCACCTCCCCTCACTCCCTGAGTCCTAGCAGAAAAAAAAAATTTTTTTTTCCATCAGGAAAATGTGTGATGCTTTTAACTTCTTCACTTTTTGGGTCAAGACCGTTTTGCTTTCTATTTGCTTCCAAGAAGTGGGGGGGGGGGAAGTCCTGTGTGTGTGTGTGTTGGGGGGTGGGGTGGGAAGATAGTGTTCCTTTCTGGGGGATTCATGTCTCAACAATCAAAACCCCAGACAGGTGACTTCTCTGGTAGTCCAGAGACTAAGACTCCATGCTTCTAAAGCAGGGGACCTGGGTTAGATCGCTGGTCAGGGATCTAGATCCCACATGCTGCAATTAGGACCCGGTGCAGTCAAATAAATATTTTTTTAAAAATAAACCAATCAGACAGCTTCCTCCCACCCACCGGCCTGTGGCTGCTGCCCCACGTTGACTGATCTGAAATGCCCCTCTGGCCCCTCCCCTCCTGAAGTGTCATACCAGTTGTAGACAGGGGGAGACAATGTCCCAACAGAATGGAGAATGCTTCCCACCAGTGAGAGAGCGGAAGAGGACAGGACCGGAGAAGACTGTACAGGGCGCTTCTCTAAGCTGGAAACTGTGTTAACCCTTTACATCTCATTGATTTATCTCATTAAATCCTCCCATCCACCCTGTGAGTAGGTAATTGTCATAATCCCTACATTATAGGATGGGAATCAGAGGCCCTGAGTGGTGAGGTCACACAGCTAATAAGTGGCAGAACTTGGATAACCCTCACGGCTGCCTGACTTACCATCCTTATGTCTCAATATTTGGCACTCTTCTGTAGCTGAGACACTCAGCAACTTGCCGCCTCTGCAAGGTGGGGCCCATGGGATGGCAAAGACCACACCCACCCAGCCACCCCTGCTGGCCCTAAGACTCCCTACCCTGGCTGGCTGGCTTCCCTCTGTGCTCTGACTGACTGTCCCTGGGTGGGCCCTGGGAGCACTTAGGCAGGAGTGAACTTCTCAGAGTCCCAGTGACTGGAGGTTCAGGTCACAAGGTCCTTAGCCCTCTTGCCCCCTGACCACGGGCGTGGGGCGTAAAGGGTTAACTACCTCTCCTCGCCTTGATGGGGGTGGGGTTCAGAGAGTGCCCGGGGCTGGGCCTGGGAAGGGGGGCTGCCCACCACGGTTCCTGTCCCCCACTTGGCCCTAGTGACTTAGGGCAAGCCTGCCGGCCTCTCTTCCTCGTTTCCCCTTGAACCCAAGCTCCGACCACATACTCCAGCGGGGGAATCCCACCCCCTCCCCCGGACCCCGAGGGTCCCCGGGGAGGCTCAGAGCTGGGAAGCGGCCCCCCACCGCGGCTGAGAGCAGCCCAGCGGCCGCCAGCTGTTGGGGGACAGATGTTGGGGGAGCTGAGAGAGGCGTTCGGGGAGGGGCTTGGGCTGGGACCTCCGAGGAGTGGGGCGTTTTAACCTCTTAAATGCTGGTTCTGTTGTTTTCGGCTTCTTCTGTGGGTTTGCAAAGCAGGGAAGAAGCAGAAGGCATAGGACCACTCCGCCGCAACTTGTTTGCCTCATAGAATCTTTTCTCTAAGGCCCTCAAGTGAGCGTCCCAAACGCAAAGCAAGAGAACACTGCTTTTGAGTGTCAGCGCCTTGTCTCACTAGCTTCTTAACAGTGCCCCCCCCCGCCCCGCCCTCTGAGCCCCGGTTTCCAGAAAAGGGGTAGCTTAGCAATGGGGACCGGAGTCGTAGTGAAACTCCGATGGGCTCTTCCGTTGAAGCTCATTCACGCAACAATAACTGCTGGGCTCCTATTCGGTATCCAGGAAAGGCAGGCGGAGAGAACTAGCCTGCTTCCGTCCCTGGCGCGCAGCTCCCTCCGCAAAGCCACGAGTACTCAGATGTCTGCGTTCCCCGCTGGCGTGGAGAGAGGGCAAGGCGGTGCGCGGCGCCCACTCCACTCCTTGCAGCAGCTGCCAGGCTGTGCTTCCTACCTCCGACACCTCTCCATTCCCAAAGCGCCTCTGTGCTTTGCGTCTTTGCCCCGCGGCGCGCGCGGGGACCCAGGGAGGGGCGCGCACAACGCAGGGGGGAGGCGGGCAGTGGCCGCGCCCCGTAGTCCCTTTGGCGCTCCCTTCGCAGCTCCCGAACACCCCTTTCTTGAAGTTTCGTTGTCTCTGCCGCCGATTTCGCTGCTTCCGGAATTCGGCGGCACGGGCCTCGCTGCCCGCCTGGGAAAGGAGTCTGTCGGTTTGTCAGAGCCTGGATCCGCAAGCGTCCTGGTGCCCCTTGTTTATGTCACCTTCCACGGGTGGGGGACACGCTTCAGGAGCGGCACGAAACGCATCCCAAACTGCAGAATGACCCCCATCCCCATCTAGGATTTAAACGCGAGGATGGTTTCATTGACTGGGCGGAGACACGGCGCGCGCAGGGAGATCCTAGAGCTGGGACAGCTCCCGGCATTGGGGGTGATACGAGGAGGGCGATAAAGTTGCTGAAAGGTCGCCTGCGGTTCCCGCCTCAGAGCAAGGGGGTGAGGGCTCTGCGAGCGGCCAACGGAGGCGCAGAACGCGCGCGGCGTCGTGGACTCGTGGAGCGGGAAGATCAGGGATGCTCGAGGAGTTTTGGATGCGTCCTGGCGGAAAACGACGAACCCTGCAGAGGCAAGCGCCAGGATCCGGGAATTTGAACTCTGGTTCTGCGCACAGATCCCGGAACACGGAAACCGCTTCCTGGAGACGCAGTAGCTCTCGCCTGCATCTCAAGGCCGGGACCTTCCTGTACCGACTGTTTAAGGCTCTCTCTACTCGAGACTGCGGAGGCCCTAGGCCCTGCCCTAGGGAGTTTCCCGGACCCAAGGCTCGGAGTGGGGATGCGACGCAGTCAAACCAGGCCCCTTTCCTGTTCATACCACAGGGTTTCAACTCTACCCATCTCCAGTCCCACTGCTTCCGCAGGTTCTAGGAGATTTTTTTTGCACGTCGGAAGGGACCTCAACCCGTGTTCCACGCTCCGTGTCGTCTTGGACAAGTCACTTGTCCGCCTTGAACCTCCGATTCCACGTGTGCAAATTGGGTGTCAGAGTCCCCACTTCACATGGCTGCGGCGAGGAAAAAGTTGCGGCCCAGAACCCTGGAGCGTAGCGAGGGTTCTGCACCCGGCTGGCCCTTCCTTCTTCTTCCTTTCAGAGGCCAGGAAATTCTCCCAGCTCGGAGCCGGGCAGCCGAATTCGGAATCGCCCCTCGGGCGGGAGCAGACTAAAACGGGCAAAACGATTTCCTCTCCTCTTTACTGAAGGATTGGAAACGGAGACCGCGGACTGTGTTGGGGAAGCCGAATTTCCGGGGTGGAAATCCATTTCTGTCTGTTTGAGGGACGGTTGACTAGGCCAAGGCGCGCAGAGCGGCCTGAGCGAACCCCGCGGCCGCCGACAGGGTTCCCTGGAACTCCTTGTCCAAGAGAGCGGCATGGCCTGTAGTCGGTGCTGGCCGAGGCCTCCGCTCCTGTACTCAGTTCAACCCGAGACCGAGACCGTTTATTCAACCGGCAGTTGCTTGTGTTTGCCAAGGCAGGCGAGGCTATAACCAGAGTGCATTTGCTGGGCTGGTTCCTGCGCGCTCTCAAGGCGCTTCCCAGTGCTCTTTTGGGTGGAAATGTGCCTCTGGGGACACAGAGGCAAATCTTCTAGAGCTTTTCCCAGGAATTCCGGGGTGGAAGGGAGTGCCAAGAATCCCGTCTTTTACAAGTCGACGTGTTCAGTGCTGAGAAGGTGGTGCTGGGAGCCGTGGAACTAGGAGTGGGAGGTCCGCGGTGGGAAGAGGAAACAGTCTGTGCCAAAGCCTGGGGAGTGGGGAGTGCTTCAGAGGGGTTATAAGACCTGGGACCACCTTGCTTCGTGGCTGACGCAGGCTCATGTTTGGGTGTGGGGTGAGGGATCTTTAGAAAGGTTAGGGAGGAGATGAGCCAAGAGAGGATGTGGTCTGTTGAGCTCTGTCAACTCCAAGGATCTTGGACCAGATCCTGAGCATAGAGTGGAGCCACCAGAGGATTTTAAGCTGGGTAGGGGACAGCATAAAGCATCCGTGCTGGCAACTTCCCTATAGCCACTTTGTGGAGGCTGAGTTGGCCAGGGTGATGCTGGAAACAGATGTAAAGATGGGCAGTGAGAGGTGCATGATGGGAGCAAGGCTTAGGCAGCGGTGGCTGTGGAGAGGAAGAGATGGGTCCCAGAGATACTTAGGAAATGGAACCTACAGTGTCTGATGATTTGTTGGTTGCTGGGTTGAGGAGAAGTGGTTGATTTAGGTTTCGAAGCTTGAGGGGCTGGATAAGTGGGGTCACCATTCCCTGAAAAAGTGTGTGCACCAGAGGGTGAGCGCAGGGTCACTGGGTGAGTCATCTACTTCAAGAAAAGAATTTCCCTGGTGCTCCCGGGACAGGCCTTGGGCTGACTTCTAAAACAGGGCATACCAGAGTCTGCTGCTTCCTGGAGGGGCTCCCAGTCCGGTGGCGGTGGAGGCAGCCACACCACAAAGTGGGAGGGCGAAGGGGAAGCGGCAGAATCAAGAAAACTTTGAGAGAGAGTGAGGCATTTGATCAGGGCTTTTCTCTCTTGTTAGGATGACACAGGGCTCCGGAGTCTGAGACTATAGCTGCTTACTAAACCAATAGCACTAACCATTGCTGTTGTCACCTTGTTCAGCTCAGGGCAAGAAAATGAGAACTCAGAGAAGCTAAACACTGTGTCCAGGGTTACAAAGCCAGTAAGTGCATATCTGTCTATGCTTTCAAGACACTCTCAAATTTCTCTACAGCTGGGTTACAGTTTATTCTTCTCAAGAGTCACACTGGCTAGGGCTTCTCTCCCTGCAAGCTGTGTGACCTTGTGCCCATTACTTTACCTATCTAGTCCCCATTTTCCTCATTTGCAAAAATGAAGATTAATTGGGACAATCAACATAAAACACTTAGAATCTTTCTGGGCAAGTGGTAAGTGCTCATAAATTTGCCAAATTATTACTATTGTTATATTTCCCCTGTATTTTATTGAGCGGAGTAATGTTATATACAGATTCAGTGATCATGGTAGACTATTTGGAAAACTCAGAAAAGCACCAAGAAGAAAGTAAGAAACCACCCACCAGCTCACCTTCCAGGTGGGACTTGGCTGCAGGGTATGGTGAATCCAGACAAAGGGAAATGCACGCATTAAGTCCCTTGGGAACGGGGCGTGGTGGAGACTCAGGGGTGTGGAAGGCTGGTCCGAGCCTCGCCATCCCTTCTTTCCCCTCCCCCGCCCTGTCCCACAGCCGATTCGGAACCAAGTGCGCCCGGTGTGGCCGACAGATCTACGCCAGCGACTGGGTCCGGCGGGCGCGCGGCAATGCCTACCACCTGGCCTGTTTCGCCTGCTTCTCGTGCAAGCGCCAGCTATCCACAGGCGAGGAGTTTGGCTTGGTCGAGGAGAAGGTGCTCTGCCGTATTCACTACGACACCATGATCGAGAACCTCAAGAGGGCCGCGGAGAACGGTACCCAACCCGCCCCTACCCCTCCCCACCCCCAGCCCTCTCTGACCCCCACGCCACCTCAGCACCCCAGGGACTGCTCGCAATTCTCTAGATCCTGGCGCCCCCTTTATCACCTGGGGGCAGCATGAGGGTGGGGCTGCGCACGGACCTTGCCCTTCTGGCTCCACCATTTGTTTGCAAGTCTGAAGTCACACTGCTGGTCCTTGCAAATTGTTTCCCACTCTGTAAAATGGGGCTAACGATAAGACACCTCAGAGATAGATGAGGCTGGTGTTCTGAAAAGCCGAGAAGCACTCAATGAACCCTAGCAGTGACTCTCATCACGGGCAGCCTCCTCTGCCTTTGGATAGCTCTGGGTGGCCTGGAGCTCTCCTTTGCCGGAACCAGGCTTGGGCCAGTCAGCCAGAGTTGATGGCAGCCCTCTCCTCCCAACTCCCACCCCAGCAGCTAGGAGCCAGAGGTTTGGGGCTGGGGTTTTCCTTCTGGGCTGTAAGGAGAAAAGCCTTAGAGTCTAGAGACCCCAACTTCAGTTTTGCTTTTGGCAGGTTGCCCTGACATACACAGTTGCCTTTTCTTTCTGGGTCTCACTCTCCCTAGTGGAAAATGGTTATTGGACTACTGAAAGTGAAAGTTGTTCAATGTGTCCGACTCTCTGCGACTCCACGGATAGTCCGTGGAATTCTCCAGGCCAGAATACTGGAGTGGGTAGCCTTTCCCTTTTTCAGGGGATCTTGGACTAGGAAGATCCCTAAATCTCTTCTGTCTTTGATACTGAGATTTCCGAAGACACTTAGGCTCAGGTCTAAAACCCAGGTCTTCCCGGGTTTGTCGGGGCTAAGTCATAAAGTGTCTGCCCCATCCACAGTGCCTCTCAGGAAATATGGACCACCCCGCCTCAATCTCCAGTCAGAGGACTAGTCAGGAATCCCCAGAGTGCTGTTTGCCATGGTCACAGCTCCAGTCAGTTGCTCAGTCATGTCTGACTCTGAGACCACGTGGACTGTAGCCCACCAGGCTTGATTATCCATGGAATTTTCCAGGCAAGAATACTGGAGTAGATTGCCATTTCCTACTCCAGGGGATCTTCCTGACCCAGGGGTCAAACCCACATCTCCTGCTTTGACAGGTGTATTCCTTACCACTGCCCACCTGGGAAGGCTTGGCCACAGCAGGGCCGTCACTTTCTCCTGCCAGGATCAGGGCTGAGTGGGTCTGGGTGGGGAGCAAGTGAAGCTGGGGTGCTCTGAATTTACCTTCAAGTAAACTGGGCAAGTCAGTTGTGGAGCTGGGATGGAAGTTCAGGAGTCAGCGTTTCCCCCACACCATCAGTCACTCCAGGCTCCTTCCATACCTGGACCAACCAGGACCACCGCTAGCCACAGCCTTGCCAGTTACACTCCAGCTCTCATAGCCAGGCTGACTCCAGACTCCTACCATGCTGGGAACTTGAAAGCTTATGACCCCAGATCTCCTTTACTGACCAGCCTTCAGTTTGGGCTACTGCTTTACTTGTAAAACTTAAACACTCATGTGTCCCTTATAGAAAATTTAGAAAGGATGGTTAAGCAAAAAGAAGAAAATAAAGACCACTCCAAATGCCACCACCCCTCACATTTTAGTGTTTATCTTCCCAGATTTTGTTCTATGGATGTATGTCAGAGTGTTTGTTTTGTTCTTTCTTTCTTTCAACACAGTGTTCCTAGTTAAAAAATTATGAATAGTGGTGGAGTTTCTGGAGATTTCAATTTTCTTCTTTGTGCTTATCTGAATTTTCTGAGTTATTGATAAGGAGCATGTACAACCTTTGCATTCAGAAAAATGAGATATTAAAAGAAAGGAATATATTTAGTGTGATTTAAAAAGTAATGTTAAGTAGAAAGAGAATAACACATTCAGTTAACAAAATTAAACCTTAGAGAAGGTGATGACATGTGATTGTTGGAAAAAACTTCAGAAGCTGCAGAAACATTGAGTCTTCATAATTGCACTGCCTCTTCCTAAGCCTTTGGTGTATATCCTTCCAACCTTTTTGCTTCCATCTTTTTTTTTTTTTTTTTTTTACAAAATTAGGATCACAGTTCTGTAACCTACCTGCTTCCCATCTCCATCAGTCTTTGGTTTCCCCAGTATGTCAAGGAGGGAGCCCAAACTGGGATGCTAGAGTCAGCCAGATTTCAGAATACTAGTCGAAAGGTCCAGAGCTGGGACTTCCTTCTCTCTGAACCTCAGTATCCTCCGCCGTAACACGGGGATAATGACACCAATCCTCAGGGTTGTGAGAAGTACAGGGCACCCCCAAAGAGAAGCGTCTGGTACTGAGCAGATGCTCAAAAGTAGAAGCCCCTTCCCCAAAGACAGTTCAGGGGCTTAGAACCCTGGGATCCCCGCTCCCAGTCAACTCCGCTCCTGACACTTCCAGGGACCAGCTCCCCCCACCCCCGTCCTTTCCAGGCTGCCACTAGAAGAGATGGGGACGCGTGGTCAGCCACTTCTGTCGCCCCCAGGGAACGGCCTCACGTTGGAGGGGGCAGTGCCCTCGGAACAGGACAGTCAGCCCAAGCCGGCTAAGCGCGCCCGGACGTCGTTCACCGCCGAACAGTTGCAGGTACAGGGGCTGGCCGCGAGTGGCCGGGTGTGGGCGGGGCTTAGAGGACCTCCTGACTCCTCCCCTCTGCCCGACCCGCGGGTGGCGGGGAGGGGCTGTAGCTGCCTGGGGGCGTGGCCTCCGGGCCGGAGCCTCTGATTGGGCCGGGGCCTTGGCGACCTCGGCGGGCTCGTGCCTCACCGCCCCGCGGCGCCTGGCAGGTTATGCAGGCGCAGTTCGCGCAGGACAACAACCCAGACGCGCAGACGCTGCAGAAGCTTGCGGACATGACGGGCCTCAGCCGAAGGGTCATCCAGGTGGGGCCGGGGTGGGCGGGGCCTTCGGGTCTGGGGCGGGGCCTAGGGGCCTGGGGGCGGGCCCTCGAGCGCGTAGCCGGGCTGCTGAGCCGTGGGTCGGGGAGCACACGTGGCCGCCCTTCCTCAGGGGGCGACGAGGCAGTACAGCCTGGGGTCCCGCGGCGGCGCGTCCAGCCTTTTTCCGCGAGGCTGAGGCTGCTGAGGCTGTCGTTCCAGGTGTGGTTTCAAAACTGCCGAGCGCGTCATAAAAAGCACACACCGCAGCATCCCGTGCCACCTTCCGGGGCGCCGCCGTCCCGCCTCCCCTCCGCCCTGTCCGACGACATCCACTACTCCCCGTTCAGCAGCCCCGAGCGGGCTCGCATGGTCACCCTGCACGGCTACATCGAGAGTAAGTGACCGCGACACCCCGGTCGCCCGGCTTGTGGGAGAGCAGGTATAGACGAGCGCTTGTGGGTGGCGGAGGCGTGAGGAGGCCTTGCTGCGCCTCGTGAGTGCAGCTGAGGGTTCCTCAGTCACTGGGACCTAGAGATGGGAGAGAGGAGTTAAGTTCCCCAACTCTGCCGCAGTGGAGCTGGACTCCTCCGTAGAGGCAAGCCATTCAAAAAGTACTCTCTCAACACCCACTCTGTGCCAGGGACCGAGGACTAGAAAAAGAACAAGAAGGGTTAAGTCCCTTCCCTGGGCGAGCCTGCATTCTGGTGGGAGAGACAGGAAACAATACTAGAGAGATGAGCTGTTTGGTTTACATCATGGTGATTCCTGTAGTCAGGATTCTGGATGGGAGTGTGTGGAGATGTCGCCTCTCCTCTGGCTGAGAGCAGAAAGGTGGTAGGAGTGAGTGAGACACCAGGAGAGGGCAAATAGGAGTGCAGGCAGCAGAGGAACCAAGTGTAGGCAGCAAGTGTTCTGGCATGAACGCGTTTGGGTCACAGAAGTGAGCCAGGGTGACAGGAGTACCCACAGCTGAGGCCGAGGGCAAATCACCTGACTTCCTGGAACCTGTTTCCTCATCTGTACACTGGGACATTAATGATGCTACCTCACAGGGTGGTGATCCACTCATGTGTTCAGTAAGTGTTTTTTGAGTGCTTTCTGTGCCCTAAGCACGGGGATGCCTGTGTGCTAAGTCTCATCAGTTGTGTCCAACTCTTTCCAACCCCATGGACTGTATTCTGCCAGGCTCCTCTGTCCATGGGATTCTCCAGGCAAGCATACTGGAATGGGTTGCTATTTCCTTTTCCAGGGGATCTTCCTGACCCAGGGATCGAACCCACATGTCTTGTGTCTCCTGCATTAGCAGCCGGGTTCTTTACTCCTAGCTCCACCTGGGGGACTCCAAGCACTGGGATACAACAGACCAAAGCCTGTGCGCTCCTGAGGCTCAGGTGGCAGGATGAGGAGGAGGGGAGACAATAAACAAATAAAGGAGGGAGGAGAGGTGTGTCAGTGGGGACTGAGCACTGTGGGTGAGGGGTGGCAGGTCATGGTGAAGTGATCAAAGAGTGGAAATCTGGGGGAGAGACAGAGAGAGTAGCCTTGTGCATGTCTGGAGGATGGACATTTAATGAATTTGCTATTGAGTGGGTGCTTGTCACAGATTTTCTTTCCCTTTGAGGTTGTTTCTATTGATTGTTTCCTCAAAGCTGGGCATGGCCAGAAAGATAGATGGTGACAACATACCCACAAGCTCAAACCCTCTCTTCCCTGGGTTCAAGTAAAAGAGAAAGAAAAGGGAGGTCAGAGAAGAGCACAGCTGTGTCGCAAGTCCCTGCCATGTGCCAGGCGCTATCTTGACAGATGTTTCTAAACATCACTGTTTTACTGCACAGATGAGGAAACCAATGGTCCACAGTAAGTTAGTGGGAGCCAGGATTCTTTAATAATGAAATGTGGGCTTTAGTGTCATACTGTGGGGCTTCAGAGCCCATCACTGTCACTTACAAGCTGTGAGACATTGGGCAAGTGTCTTATTATCCTGGAATACCAGTTTCCTCATCTGTAAAAATGAAGACAATAAGAATCCAGTCTCTTTTAAAAAGGAGAATACCTATCTCAAAGCACTATTGTGAGCATCAGATGAGATCATTGACTTAATGTCCTCAGTATTTAGTAAATCTGGAAAAGTATTAGCTGCTCTTGTGATGGTGGTGGTGGTTCTGGCGTGCAGAGCTGCGAATGCAGAATCCTGCCTACTGCACCCGGCTGCCAGTTGGGAGTGGCAGTGTCTGCCAGTATCTCTTTGTTCTGTTCCATTTCTGAACCATCTACTCAGTAGGAGGGACTCTTTTCCCCCTTTCTTTTCTAAACAATGACGTGTTCAAGCTGCAAAGAGCTCATTGACAATCTAGTTCATCTGTTAAAGGTGCCAAGCACCAGAGGCTCTCTAGGTACCAGGAGTCTGGGCCACCAGCCAACATTTGCTGGGAAGTTGGTAACAGATCTAGGTGACCCCACGGAGAGTGGGGCCATGGTCTCCGGAGCTATGTCAGGACTCCGTCCACATAGTTTGTTGGCCAAGTCTAGGGACACCTAGAGAAAGGACAGAAGTGCCCTTTCCTCTTCCCCTCAAGGTGAACCCAGCTTGGGGCAGGAAGCGTCAAGGGTGTTTGAATGTGCTGCCTCCTGCTGCGAGACTGAAGGTCCCCTTAGAAAGTTTCTTTGCCATTCACTGAATTCACAGGTTCCTGTGTTTCCCAGAGCCTTCAAGCTTGGGCTTCCCTTGTAGCTCAGTTGGTAAGGAATCTGCCTGCAGTGCAGGAGACCTGGGTTCGATCCTTGGGTCGGGAAGATCCCCTGGAGAAGGAAATGGCAACCCACTCCAGTATCCTTGCCTGGAAAATCTCACGGACAGAGGAGCCTGGTGGGCTGCAGTCCGTGGGGTTGCAAAGAGTCAGACACCACTGAGTGACTAACACTTACTTACTTCAAGCTTGGAATCTCGTGAAAAAGCTTTGGAACTAGACTCCAGAAATGCAAACATATGCATATAGTTCTCCACATAATCTCAGGCTGTTCATGGGCCCTACGAACACCCCATATTAAGAATTCCTCCATCTTCCCCAGATGAGGGAACTGTAGCTCAAAAAGGCACAGTGATTTGCCCTGTTAAATATTAATTGTAGGTCTCTGTACAGGGCTCCTTCCCCTGCATCCAAAGAGGATGAAGTTCTGAGAAGAGTGAGGCCATAGGCTTCACTGTAGTGGTAAAGAGGTGGAAGCATGAGAGATTTGGGTCAGACCAAGGATGGCCTTACCCCTCCCTGTTTTAGATCTTGGAAAAGGGTATAGAGATTTATCCAGCAAAATCTTAAAGAGTATCTACTAGATGTCATGCCTTATTCTAGGTCCTGGAAATCCACAAAGATCTAGAATCTAGAAACAATCAAAAATTCCTGCCCTTATTAGAGGTTGCAGTCTAGCTGGCAAAGACAGATAATATCAAATAAACAATAAAAATATAAAGTAAGTCAGATGATGGTAAGTGCTAAGGAGGAAAAATAAAGCTGAGAAAACAGGCAGGGAGGGTGGGGGGGAGGTGTTGGTGTTGGGTGGCAGTTGTGAATAGGGTAGTCAGGGAGAGCATCCTAGAGAAGGTGACATATGAGTACAGAGTCCTCTATGGGAGGGGGGTAAAACCCTGGTGATACCTGGGAGATAAGAAGGTACAACGCACCAAGGAAGGACTCGAATGGATGGGGTAGAGCCTTGAATGTAGGAATGTACAGCCTTAAATGTATATATTCATTTCTTTCTCTCTCTTTTTAAAACTTTTTAACTGTAATATAGTTGATTTACAATGTGTTAACTTCTGCTGTACAGTGAAATGATTCTATTATATATATATATATATATATATATATACACACACACACACACACATTGTTTTTTAATATTCTTTCCCATTATGATTTGTCAGAGAATGTTGAATATAGTTCCCTGTGCTATACAGTAGGACCTTGTTTATCCATTCTGTATCTAATAGTTTGCATCTGCTAACCCCAAATTCCCACTCCATTCCTCTCCCACCTCCCTGCTTGGCAACCACAAATCTGTTCTCTATATCTGTGAGTCTGTTTCTGTTTCATAAAAGTTCATTTGTGTCGTATTTTAGATTCCACACATAAGTGATATCATATGGTGTTTGTCTTTCTCTTTCTGACTTGACTCATTATAAGGATCTCTAGGTCTATTCATGTTGCTGCAAATGGCATTATTTCCTTCCTTTTTATGGCTGAGTAGTATTCCATTATATATGTGTACCACATTTTCTTTATCCATTCATCTATTGATGGGCATTTAGGTTGTTTACATGACTTGGCTGTTGTGAACATAGGGGTGCATGTACATATTCATTTATGAGTGTTTATCGGTGAGTTAGACAGTTATCATCAACTACACTTCCCAGGTGGCACAGTTGGTAAAGAATCTATCTGCTAACACAGGAGACACAAGAGATGCAGGTTCGATCCCTGGGTCAGGAAGATGCCCCATAGAAGGAAATGGCAACTCCAGTATTCTTGCCTGGAAAATTCCATGGAGAGAGAAGCCTCGTGAGATATAGTCCGTGGGGTCGCAAAGAGTAGGACACAACTGAGCACACACACAATAGGCAGTTATCACACATGGCTTCATTGCTCATGAAGACTTTCAGGGACTTCCCTGGTGGTCCAGTGGTTAGGACTCTGCGCTTCCATTGCAGAGGGCGTGGGTTTAATCCCTGGTCAGGGAACTAAGATCCCAGAAGCCAAAAGACTTTCACATAGGGTATTGCAACCAACCCTACTGAAATTTTGCCCAGGGGCATCCCACTGGTAAGTGACAGAGGTGAAAATGGCCCCAGGGATCCAGCCTACCGAGCCCAGGGCTGGTGGGATGCTGCACGGAGACTGGGGGATGGACTCCAAGGCATCCTCTCGTCCACAGGTCAGGTACAGTGCGGGCAGGTGCACTGCCGGCTGCCTTACACCGCGCCCCCGGTCCACCTCAAAGCCGATATGGATGGACCACTCTCCAACCGGGGGGAGAAGGTAAATGGAGCCTGGCTGGGTGGGGTGGGTCAGAGCCACCCCGCCGGGATTGGGTTTCTGGCAGGATTCTTGTCACTGAGCAGGCACCCTCTGCCTGGCACTCAGGCCCCCCTGTGCCCCATCACGCAGTGCCTTGATCTGGTGCCAGTGTGTTCGGCGTGTATGGCCAGCCCCCTGGTGGCTCCCCACCACGGCTGGCCTTCTCTTTTTCAGATTTACGGATTTAGTTACTTCGCTCAAACGTTGCAGCTCTGAGCAGGGCTTATATCACACACCACCCTGCCTCCCACCATCTCACGGGTTCCTCCTCCTGCTTCCTCCTTTGTGTTTCTATCTGTTGTGAGTGAATATCCTGAGCTGGTGGGGCCCAGGGACAGCAGGCCAGCTAGTGGCCCTTGGTCAACCGGTAAGGCCTCCTTTGTGGAACCCGATCTCTGGCTGTCTGAAGCAGTAGGACTGGACGCCCAGAAGGGTGCTTGGACGTCACCCAGTCCAGTGGCTGAAAGCTCTGTTCTTATGCCCAGGAAGCCATTTGTTTGTTCTTTCTCATAATGAAGGATGGAGATGAAACGGGGTCGGTGGGGAGCCACTCTGCATGAAACTGCAGAGGGAGTAGAGCCCCCACCTCCCACTCAGCTCCAAGACAGCTCGCAGTGAGCCGTGAAAGCCACTCCTCTCAGACAACCCCTTCTTTTAGAAAATGAGGCCCAGGTAGCTCAAGATCACAGAGCCGGAATGAGAACTTGTGCCTTTGTTCGTTCACAAAATCGGTTCTTCAGCCGACATTTGCTAGGTACAGGCTGTGCCCAGGAGCCCCAAGTCAGTTGCCAGGAGCACAGAGATGAAGGAAATGTAGTTCGCGCCCTCGAGGAGCCCAGTGGTTAGGACACAGCATGATTCAGCTGGGCCCAAGGGAGCTGGGGTGGGGGCGCAGCTCAGGAGAGACACAGGAAGGCTTCCTGGAGGAAGGCACGCCTGAGCCTCAGGGTTGGGTAGGGAAGGCATGAGCCGCCACGGCTCTCAGGGAACCCAGAGCGATTCAGAGCTGCTGGCACACAAGCCTGGGAGGAATAAGAGTGAGGGGTGGAGGCCTCAGGTTGCCAGGTGGAGGCGCATGGACTGTGGTGGGCCCTGGAGGTCTCTTTTAGAAGTATCACTGTAGTGGTCCTCGGAAAGACAGGGAGCCCCGGGAGTCAGAGGATGTGCTGGGCTTGGGGAGAAACAGGGCCAGGCCTGAGTGCAGTCTTCTATGCCTCAGCATCATTTGGGCAGCTCCTAGAGAGGCAGATTCCCCAGCCTCACGTCTGGGGAGCTGGGGCAGACCCCAGGGTGTCATACCCAGCCCCATGATTCTGGCAGGCGGCCAGGAGTGGGACCGCCTTTCCAGGACAGCCCCTCTTACTCCACCTCCTGATTAAGCACCTACCTGTGGGGCTGGGCTGAGGGCTGGGCACCATGGGGAAAGCAGATGATGCAGAGGTACAGTCAGCCAGTAGGACCAGTAGGTTTATAAGTAAATGGTAGGACGCATGCAGTCCCAAATTCTGGAGACCCCAGTGGTGGGTGACTCCACCCTAGGAACATCCCCTCTGAGACTCATACTCAGAGGAAGGGCTGCCTTGGGTAAACAGCTTCTTTGTTCATGGCAGGCACTTTACATATGTTGTCTGATGCCCCCGATCACCCTGTGGATATGAGGATGGCATCCTCATGGTAAAGATAAGGCAACAGAGGCTCAGAGAGGTGACCCGACTTGTCCAGGGATGCAGCTAGCCCCTCGGATCTGAAGTCCACCTGGTTCAGTAATCATGTGCTTCCGAGCCGCACTTCACAGTCTGCACGGTGCTCTCTTTGACCTCACCCTTCACAGCCTCCCTGGGAGGAAGATTGTGGTTGACTCCAACTCACCCCTGCATGCCCGGGCTCAGCCAGAGCAGCAGCTCACCCAGAGACACACAGCAAGTGTGGGTACAGCTGGCCTTGATCCTAGGGCTAGTTGCCCCCCGGCCTGCAGGAGAGCATTCATCCTGTCACACCCTACACGGGGACTCAGAGGCAAGCTGGCACAGTCCCTGTCCTCAGGGTAGCTTAGAGCAGGAGGTGGGCAGCTACACCCCAGGGCAGTTGAGGATAAGGGATGACTGTGGATCTTTGAGGACCCAGAAGACAGAATGGACAGCTCCAGGGGAGAGGCAGGGGACGTGAGGAGTCCCTTCCAAGGCATAGAGGTTTGGAAGAACTGGGGGGACAGCAGAGGGCTTAGTGTGGCGGGGGCCCAGGGAAGTGGGGGGAACCACCAGAGGGGTTACATAATGAGGGCCCTGTACCTTCAAGCAAAGGGCCTGGGCATTATTGGGGGTCAGAGGGGATCTTTGGAAGGAATTAGCTCAGGGCTCAGCATTTGGAGATGAGCCCTTGTCTCCTGGTTTCTCAGCTAAGCCTGTGGTTATGTCTGGTTCAGCCTGAAGGATGAGCCAGTCTGGGGGTCTGGCAGCTTTTGGATGGGGAAGGTTTCTGGTCCCTGGGATTGGCTGCCGTGCCACAGTTTTCTCTTGATGGCCCAGAGCCCCAGCTTCACGTCCAGCAACTCTACAGAAAAATATTTCCCCCTCCTCATGACCTTCCGCCCTCTCACTGTCAGACCTTCCTGCCAGCTCCCAGGAAACTTTTCTGTCCACATCTTGCCAAACCCCTGGGGCCTGGCAGACTGTGTGTGTCCAGGCAGTGCAAAACCCTGTGGACTTTCTTCCAAATCCTTCCAGGCCTGATCCAGTCTGGTGAGGAGGAGATTCAGGGCCCCCTGGGGCAGCCCCCCCAAACCCACTCAAGACCAGCACTGGCCTGGCCCAGAGAACAGTACTCTGAGCATCGGGGTAGCATCCTGTGCCTCTGCCGTGTTGTCATTGGACTGCTCATCCCTGTGAGTTTCCAGAACCAACATTTCTTCCCAGTCACGGCTCCTGATCCCACACAGAGGTGGGAAAATTCTTAGAAATCAGGGCCCAGCCGTCATTGTTCAGAGAGACGGAAGCTCATGGACAGGCAGGGTCCTCCCTCTGGAGAGAGCTTCTATTAGGAAGAGCCCAAAGCCAGGTAGGCAACCCAGAGACTAGAGGAGAGCAGTCTAAGGTGGGGGGAGCTCCAGAGTCAGGCAGACCAAACCCCAGCTCTGCCACCTTCTCCCTTTGGGATTTGGGAACACGGTTTCTCTGAGCCTCAGTTCCAGCATTCACAAAATGGGGACAATAATCATTCCTACCATGCAAGGTTGTTGCTGAAAGCAAATGCGATTATATATGTACAGGGCCCAGCACGACACCCGGTGTGCAGAAAGTGCTCCATGTGTGTTGGTTATTATTACGATGGCTCTTATGGCGAGCATCACCATTGCTTTTTTCCATCTCCTCCTCATGGAAACCGACCTGGGCCGTTAACATTCTTGATTGAAAAATGGAACAGCCATATGGCCACGCCCACTGGACGTCCTCTGCCCACCTGAAACCTCCTCCTGGCACCGGACTGTCAAAAGGCACATCCCATTGGCCAGATGGCCAATAATCCTTGACCTGAACCTTCGGGGGTTGGGGGTGCTGGTGGCAGTAGGAGGTCAGCCAGGCATCTTAGGTGGGAGATGGGGAGAGGAGGCAGTCTGTCCCTGACCACCTGTCTCAGCCACCTGCCTCTCCAAGTGCTTGGACACATGAAGGGCTTGGCCTGTCGCCTGGTACTTGGTAGGCACCGTTGGTGACTTTCAGGGTGGCCTAGAGAGGAAGAGGCAGTGGGTCTAACGAGCAGAGCTTATTCTAGAGCCAGGCTGGGGTTGCCGTGCTGGGTCCACCTCTTCTGGGCTGGGTGACCCCAGGCTCTTGGATTTTCACCTCTCTGGCCCCAGTGCCTCCCCTGTAAAAAAGAAATGGTGTCAGGGCACCCTGGTGGGGTTAAGGCCAGGCTCTGTGAAATCACGCCCGTGTGCACTATAGCCAGTGCCAGGAAGTTTGCCCAGGAGGTGCTAGCTGCTGCTCTTGAATCTTGAATTCTGCTCTTGAATCTTCCTGATTCCTCCCCATCTGAGAGAGAGAGGGAGAGAGGTGTGCTCATCCCTGTTTGACAGATGAGGAAACAGGTTCAGAGAGGTGAAGTGAGTTGCCCAAGGTTGCACAGCAAGCAAGTGACTGAGCCAGGATTTGAACTCAGATGTGGGCCCTGGGTCCCCCTCCTTCTCCAGGCCTTTGAGGACCTCTGGGGGGCTGCCAGCTGGCGCCGACCCTGGCTCAGCCCCTTCCCACGCCCTCCTCTTGCAGGTCATCCTTTTTCAGTACTGACGCTGCCGGCACTTCCGCATCTGTCCATGGGCGACCTGCAGCTGTCCCTCAGCCTCTGAAACCCGGAGTCCGAGCCGCTGCCAGGGATCACCCCCTCCGCGTGCACCCCTCGTCTGCCATCCTGCCCGCCACCAGCTGGGCCCCTGGGCCTGGCCTCCCTGTCTCCTGCTGAGAACCAGAACCCACCAGGAGCATGCGGAGCCCTCCTCCAGGAAAGCTAGAGCTCCCTGATACTTGGAGCCAGGGTGAAAACAACAGCCCGTGTTTCCCATTTAGTCAGGAGTCGTCCTCTTCAACTTAAGCTGATCACAATAGTAAAAGGCCGAATTGAACTGTGCGACGCCAACAGCCTTCCAATTTACAGGTTTTCTTTCCTCCCGTGTTGGCCTTTACTACTTCCTTGGAACCATCTCCAAATTCTGAATAGTCAACAACTCCCAGGGTTATCCACTCTGTTGCTTTTGTCTGGAAAACTCTACAGTGTTTATGGGATGTCCCCAAAGGAAAGCTATGTTCTAATTTTATCATTTCCATCTGTCTGGTTATGTCAAGTTAATTCAGGGAGAGAAGAGACACTGACCAACCCTGAGAGGCCCAATAGGGCAAAGATGGAGGCCTGCCCAGACCAAGAGGCAGGGGGATAGGGAGGGGGTGGGGGGAACAAAGACCCCCATTAGTTTGGAGGCCCAGGAGAAGGAGTTAGCATGCTGGGCTGGGAGGGGCATGAGCCATTTTAAGGAGAGGAAAGAGGAAACTTGGGGTGTGTGTGTTGGGGGCCCCACTTTCCCCCAGTTATCCAGCGTATGTGCGGGAGCCATAGCAGAGGTGGTTTTTGATCTGTGTGGCGACATTTCTGAATGTCTGGACAGGTTACACTTGGGGAGCTTCTTGGCTACTTGTTGACTCCCGATGGGTGGGGGTGCTTGGGCCACATCTTTTTTTGGGGGGGGCATCTCCTGAAGGGATTAGGGAATGGAGCCCAGGGAAAGGGCAGTCAGAGCATTCATTCTGGACCCATCTCTGCATAGAAGGAGGGTCCCGATGCTAAGTGAGTGTGCCAAGCCCAGGGTTCTAGCTGTCACTGCTGGGCTTTCCCATCAACCCTGCCCAGAGCCAGCCCTGCCTACTTCTGAGAATGCGGACCAGACAGCTGTGCTCAAACCCACCCCACCCTGCTACTCTTCCCCCCCAAAACAAAAGGGCTCATGCTACACAAGACCATGATTTATGTTTTCAGGGGACACCCATTTGTCCCAAGCTTATCCTGTAATTTTAGAATTACTTTGTGTCCTGATGCATTTCCCACTAGAGGCTGCTAGTAAGCATGTTTCAGCCCAAGGCATCCTTCCTCCTTTGGTTCACCTGGTATGTTGCTTTGGGAAGGAGACTCTAGGACAGGGAAAGCAAGTTCATGGTACACAGGTATCTGCTGTCCCTGGTTTCACCCATGGCAGACATTGATAATCGACTGCAGCACTATCTCGCTGAGTCTGGATAAGGGTTCGGAATCCAAATGCTTGAAGCGGGCACTTAAGATGAAAACTTACATGCCATTCTCGCACTGGGATCTGGAGGAGGCCTGGGCCCGGGTGCAGCCCCTGAAGGGAATCTGCTTCTTTTCGCTTTCAAAGACAGTTCCAGCTGACTCAGGGCAAAGAGAAGGCACCCCTCTGAATGCGGGTGGTGCAGCTCAGTTCAGAACTCACCTAGTGAATAACGTGTGCTTAGCCCTGTGCTCGGAGCTGACGTTAACAGGAGCAGCTGGGCCCGATCCCTGGTGGTTGGGGAACTCTAATCTTTCCTTTGATTTCTGCTCCCAGTGATTGCAGTCCAAGCACCATCATGTGGTGAGTGGCCAGCTGAGTCCTGCCCAGGGTCACCTAGTACCCACTCTGCCTTGAGCCTCCCCCCCAGGGTCTGTTCCTTGCGTGGATCACGTGGTTGTAGCATGTTGCGGTTCAGACATGTCTCCACTAGCCTGATAGAGCAGCCTGAGAACCTACAGGCCATCAGGACTATTTATTTAAATACAAAGCAAAAGGGGGAAAATACACACACACATACACACACACACGGAAAAAAAAATTGTAAGCACTTTTTTGTAAAACCAATGTCTGTTTTGTTACATACCTTTCATGTTGTGCTTTGTAAATGTCTTATTTGTGTAATAAATAAAGTTAATGCAAGTAGAAGTGCTGGCACTGACCTCCGGAGCACAACAGGATTCCATTTCTTTCCTGTTCTCTGGTGAAGGGATCAGGCTCAGGCCTGGCCCTCAGAGTAGCAGGGCTGCTAGCCAGTGAAGCCCCTTTCCAGAAGGTTGGTTCTGTTTCCCAGCTAGGAGGCTGAGCAGGGTAAAGGCATCATGGTGGGTTTCTTCTCTACTCTGTGCTGTGCCTGGAATCAGGCTGGCTGGTGTTCCCCCTCACTCCCGACCACACTCTGCTGGGCCCCGTGCTGACCTTGCAGGCTCAGAAAAGGGCCCAGGAAAAGCCCTCAGTCAGGCAAATGCTGTAGATAGACGGATTCCTCCCCATGTGCTGTCTGGACTTGGAGAGGGGTGCACTTGAGCTGTATCCTCAGATGAGAAGTTCATGGAGGAGATGCTGGGAGGCCAGAGACGGAAGCCTAGAGGAGCCTGACTGGGAAATGGGGTGGAGTGAAGGGAATACGGACTGGAGACGGGGGTGACAACTGGCCTGGTCGGGTTCCAGAGCCACCGTGTAACCTGGGGAGCAGGCATCTTGCTGCTGGTTGCTGAATTTTCTTTTAACGGCAGAACTGTTTGTGGAAGCCCAGGCTTACCAGGACGGGAGTGGGCTGGCTCTGCCTAGCAGGCCCGCCCCGCCCTTGCCCCACCCCCACCTCGTGGCCTGGAACAGTCACTCATAAGCCTTGGCTCAGGGTGGCCGTGGCCTCGCCCCTGCAGGGCCCCTCTGTTTAGTTGTTGCATGCTCCACCCGTGACCCCACCCCTTCCCTCCCTCTCCACTCCTCCAATCCATTTATCAAATGTTGATTTAGATATATGTGTATCTTTGAACATAGTTTAAGTTTGTGTGTCTTTCTTTACATGAATGTACTTTCTATTTTCAAAACACACTTTGGAATCCCCTGGTGGCCATCCATCCTATCTCCTGAGGTGACTGTTGCCTTGGAGGGGAAAGGTGATTGATCTCTCCCCATCCCCCCCCACCCCTCCATGGCTTAGCTGAACATGCCTAGACCTCCCTTGACCCCCGGCTCTGCACCAGCATGCCACTCATGGGTCCCCAATTCAAACAGCTAGGTTCTTGTCCCTGTAGACCTTGGCAGAGGCCTCCTAGGCCTGACTCCCCTCTCCTGGGCAGCCCCTGGTGAGCCAGGGGGCAAGGCGCAGGGAGGTGCAGGAGCCAGCAGTCTCTAAGGTGGGAAAACTAGGCAAAGATCCAGAATGCCTGTGGCCCAAGTATAGCCCTGGAACATGTTACCACTTCCTCTGCTGGTTTTCAGCTGACACATAAGATCCCTGGGGGTGATTCTGAAGAATAATTACTCCGTTCGCACAGCTAACAAATTAGTTTTTTAAAACAAGCACATACCGAATTCCTGCTAAGTGCCAGCTCCTTGTATTGTTTCATTCAATCCACACAGCTACCCTATGGGTTTAAGCATCATCATACCCATTTTACACATGAGGAATCTGAAACTCAGAGATGTGAAGTGACTTGCCCAAGGTTGTATGATACCTGTGATTGAGCTGGGATCCAAACCCAGGTGTGTATGATGCCAACACTGGATTCTTTCTGGGGCACCATACTGATTCTGTGCTTAGGGTATGAGACCCAGCTAGGGAAGCTTCAGAGAGGGAGCAGCTGTTGTGGGCAACCATTTCTGCACTTACAAGATACCAGCTGTGAACCTGGGCACAGTCATCCTGTCCTACTGCTCTGTGAAATCAAGATTGATCAGGCAGGCTTCTTGTGGCTAAAAAAAAAAAAGTAATAAAGCTGGGCTTTATCTTCAGAGGGACTCAGATTCAAATGCTGTATGACCGAAGGCAGGTCAAATCTCCCTGAACCTCAGATTCCTCCTCTGTAAAGGTGACGTTTAGCTCTCTTGTACAAATAAGGCTATTAGGAGGAGCTGAGGTAACATACCCATTCTGCCTGCACTTATGAATTGCTCATTCGATTACATGTATCTATCATTATAAACTTCCATACATGTAAGAAATAGCTGAGAATGCAAATTGCTGGGCCCCAGTCTCAGTGATTCTGATTAGCAGGTTCTAGGGTGGGACTGAGCATCACTAGTTCACAATTTTGCTGAGGTGATTCTGACACAAGTGGAATGAGGGTCCCGTCCCAAGGAATAGTCTAAGGAAATCAGGGCCACTGACTGCAGAAAACCTTTATTCCTAGAGTCAAAAGTCAGGTCCTAGAACTATAGCCTGCCCCCCCCGACCCCGAGCTAGCCAGGGCCGGGTGCGCAGAAGGAAGCCTGTGATGGAAGAGGCGACAGCGCTTACGACTTGGGCTTGGGACCCATGGTTTCATCCCAGCCCTTCCGACACGTCCGGACGATCCACTCATGCTCGTCATCATCTGTAAGGGAGGAGGGGGAGCCGGTCATGCCTCGCCCTGGGAGCCCCCCAGGCAGGGTTTCAGGACTGGGGTGGTATCAGAGGTGGACGTTGCTGACCGGATGGAGGCAGGCGCGCATCGTTGGGCTGTTCTGAGCTGGGTCCCTGCCCAGTATGACATCCACTTAGGGCGCCCCTGCGACAGCTGGTCCAGGCCTTATTCTCTGGGTTTTTCATTCTGGACCCTTCAGAGAACCCATGGTTCCTCCAAAGGGCCGACGCTTTCTCTTTGCTCGGGTCCTTTCGGTGGGGAGTGGAGAGGAGAAGCTGGGGGCCCTGCAGGCCCACACGTGTTTATCTCCCTCAACTCAATCCTCGGGATCATGCCTTTCTGTGGACAAACCAATAGGCTCGGAGGACCAGTCTTCTGTCCACAGTCATGGGGTAAGCACGTGGGAGAGCCTAGAATTTGAGCCCCGGGAACTTATCTGCATACAAGGCCTGTGCTGTTTTGAAACCTCAGAGAGAGAGGGAGAGAGAAAGTGGAGCAGGGACCTTAGCACACGACCAGCATCTCTCTGTGCCAGGCCCCTCTGCAGACTGACTCTATTTTCATTTTTCCCCTTTATCCTCTAAACCCACACCCAGCCCCTCCTCTCACCACGACTAGAGACCCACTCCAATGGTGGGATATGTACCCCTAAAAACGCACGTAACTCTGTAAAATATATCCTGCTGTTTTGTGTGCGAATGTGGTTTTAATTTATACAAATGTCATTGTGCTGTGAGTTTCATTGTGTCTCACTTTTTTTTTTTTTCCTTCACTCAACACGACATTTTCAAGATCTGTTCTCGTTGCGATGTGGACATTTCGTTCTTTGCTCCTGACCACTGCCTAATATTCCATGCTGGGCTTCTGGCTACTCATCCTCCCTGGGTGGGCACGAAGGATGCCTCCACCTCCCATACCAGGAATGATGCTGGGACAGATGCTGTGTTCTTGGGCACTTCCCTTGGTGGGTCCGTGGAGACTTTCTCTGGGGCTGTATTCCAGGAGGAGGGTCATGGAGTCGTGCACATAACTCCATTCACCAGGACTCTCAGCAAAGCCCGTGTTTGTTTTTCTTTTCCCCAGCACCGCATTGCCTGCCAGTGGTCCCTCCCTTGTTCCTGCCTGCTTCCTGGGGACAAAGAGGACAGGCCCCAATCCCTGACTTCCTGTCTTGCCTCCTGTCCTCACCCTGTGTCTAGCTCAGTGCTTCCCACCTAAGAGATGGGAGGATGGAATTACTTATCCTCCTTGGGCGAGAATCCCATGGACAGAGGAGCCTGGTGGGTTACGGTCCATGGGGTGGCAAAGAGTCGGACACAACTGAGCAACACTTGGGTGACAAATGGCAGAAGCTGGAGATAAAACACACTCCTTGAGAGCTAAAACATGGGAAATCCCGCAGAAATCCTGCCCTGCATACTACAGCCTCCTGCCAGGAACCCTCTTCCTCTTCTGGTCTAGGAGCCAGGGAGACAAGACTTTTTATCAGCTTACTGTGTGCTCTGAGCTTTACAAATGCTGGGTCTCACTGAGTCTTTTGTGAGACCCCAGTAGGGTAGGAGGCTTCCCAGGTGGCGCTAGTGGTAAAAAACCAGGCTGCCAATGCGGGAGACCTAAGACACATGGGTTAGATCCCTGGGTAGGGAAGAACCCCTGGAGGAAAGCATGGCAACCCACTCCAGTATTCTTGTGTGGAAAATCTCATGGACAGAAGAGCCTGATGGGCTACAGGCTATAGACTTGCAAAGAGTCGGACACGACTAAAGCAACTTAGCTAGGGGAGATTGCCCCATTTTATAAAGAGGACAAGCCTTGCCTGGTATCCACGGCCAGTGGAATTTAAGCCAAGACTCATCAGACCCTGAAGCCTGACTTTCCACCCCAGGGCAGGCCTGAAGGTGCCAGAAGGTGAGTCCGCCCCCATGGAGCAAGCCTCCTCTGTCCCCCAGCCCCACTAGATCTCTGTCTGTGGCCTCAGGACAAAGGCTCGCGGCCTGCAAGCTCTGGCCTGGGAAGACTGCCCTCGACAGCCAGCGGGTCTCAGTATCCCCTGGGGAGGCTGCCGGGGAATCCGCGCTTGGCTGCCAACCCCCCGGGGGTGGGGGCGGAGAGAGCACGGCACACAAGGAGTTAAGCGCTGGTGAAGCCCACTTTTGCCACACCGCAAGCAGCCTGGTTGATAATTACAGTTCTGAAGTCTCCAGGCTA